AGTTGTTAATTTACTGCTTTAGTTTCTTAGTTAATTAGTTAGATATAAGAATCTTAATTTTTTTTACTTAAAAGTTATTCGAGCTTGTCCTCTTGGTGATATTGAACTGTTATAGTGAAACCTTAGTTCTTTGTGGGATTCGACTTCGGACGTTTAGACCGGATTATATTTGCAACGACTGCTTATCCTTTTTAGGACTAGAGTTGGGCGTGATCAAATTTTGGCGCCGTTGCCGGGGAGGTGTAGTTGTAGCTGTATATATTGCTAGGTTTCGAGTTTGAACTTTTATTTTGTTTTTTGTATTTTTTTATTTTATTATATCTGTTGATTTGAGAAAATGTCATCTTGGAATTATGGGAATTTCGGTGTAGATAATTCTACTATTGATCCTCATACATATTGTGAAGGAAACCACCTGTATCAAAATTATTAAAATATTCCCGAGAGCGAGTTATGTGCACCAACTAAATCTTATTTGTGGAATATGTGTGATGTGTGTGGTGGTGAAAATGGTGACTTTTATGGTTGTGCTTATATTTCTTATCTTCCCCCAACCCCTTACTATGATGGTTCTGCCTTTTCTTGTGAAGTTAATAGGAACAAAGAACCTGGGGATGCAGAACTGAAGGAGATCAAGGATATGTTAAAGTGCCTTCTGGAATAAAATAATGAAAAATAATAGTAGATAGAAAGGCAAGAGGAAACTATTCGCAACTTGGAGGATCAAGTGAGTCAAGTAGTTGAAGCTTTTAATGCTCAGCAAGCCAATTTTGGGGATAGGAGCCAAGAAGAGCGTTAATTTGAGGTGCTAATTGAGGAGGTCAGAGTAGAACATCAACAACCTAGCCAACTACAATTTGAGGATGTCAATATTGTAGAAGTGAGACTAGAGTCAGCCAAGGACATTGAGGATATAAATTTTGTTTGACTCTAGTATCATTGATGTTGAGGATGCTGAAAGTCCTGAAGTTCATATGTGTGACTGTGTTGGTCCTCACTCCAAACATTTTTCTACATTGTGCTTGGATGACGATATGGAAATAGAGTCATCCTAGCCAATTGAGAAGTCAAGGAATGAGGAACAAGGTGCCTACATTCTGGAATTTTTCTTGCGAGAAAGACAGGACTACATACCTCATCTAAAAGCCAAGAAGTGTAGAATAGTACAATGGTTGCTTGGGCCAATTAGATTTGTTCCTCCACCCCTGGAGCATAGCCGAAAACTTGATTCCAAATTGGGGGTTCAATTCATAAGCTCGAGGTGGAGGCAAAAAGTGATTCGCGTCGTGCCGCGAAGATAAATCAAGCTCTTGTTGGGAGGCAATCCAGCTTTATTGATTTCTTTTATTTTTTTTATTTCTCTAATTGTATTATGTTTGTAGTGTGGATTTTTTATTTTCCAGGAGCATGGAAAGCAAAGCTATTGGAAGGATGCAACAGCAAACCAGATGGTTGGAACTAAGTGTGAGGAACCCGCACGAAGGACCAAGCCTAGGATAAGTCTGAGTACCCCATGAGCTGCTAGTGCTTCGGGGAGTTCCTTTTACCCTCTTATAGTTATGATGTGCATAGGGGACAATGCACAATTTTAAGTGTGGGGTGATGAGATTTTCTGCGTGACTTTATATGCTACTTTTTTTTAGCAAATATACCACTTGGCAGGCTGCCTAGTGGCTACTATATAAATAAAATCCCAAAAGGTCCAAAGCTTACAAGATGTCCAAACCGAAATAAAAGTTGCATGAAGCTACTAGCTACTAAAAAGATAGAAAAGCTAAAGTCTAATGAACTAGCTATTACAACATTGTCCGCTGAATGATTCCTTCTGCTGTCAGTGTATGTGAATCTAATTGCCAGTGGCAAATACCAAGCAGTACCTATCAAGCTCTCACCAAGCGCCAGGGTATTCAGTCCATAGGCTAAAATGAATTCCAAACATCTCCACCACAGAATTGAAACCAGCATAGTCTTCCAATCATTAGAGTTGCTACAATATGATCTCCATAGGCAGTGTACTGACTCTATCCAAGTATAAATCATGTGGTCGATCATCAATATTATCATGTAAAAGAGCCTAGCTACACCTGTCTTGAAGTTGGCTTTAGGCAGGCTTTGCAAGGCAAAAGCCAGGCTGGGGCTGGCTTTAGGCAGGCTTTGCAAGGTAAAAGCCAGGCTGGGGCTGGTTTTAAGCAGGCTTTGCAAGGCAAAGGCCAGGCTGGGGCTGACTTTAGGCTGGCTTTGCAAGGCAAAAGCCAGGCCAGGGCTGGCTTTAAGCTGGCACCGCCAGGCCTGTGGAGCTGGGTGATTTTATGATCTTGTAAGCTCAGATCCTTCTCTTCCCGAACCTTTAATGTAGAAATCATTCTAAACATTGCTAAACCATCCTCAGATTGAGCATGAAGACATGCTAATACCACTGAGAAATGATTCAACAATCTCGAGAAATTCCACATAACAGATTCAACCTTTACCTTAACATTTGAACATATCAGAAGTAGAATAAATTGTACCATCCAATACCTGCTTATCACATTGGTACTGCTTGAAACAATGGCTTTAACTTTGGACAACATTGAGCATACCACCAATGCCTTATAACCTGCTTCAATTGAATCAATGGCATAGTAATTCCAGCAGCCCCCGTGAACAAGTTCCATACTTTAGAGGCAGCAGGACTTGTGACAAATATATGCTCAATAGATTCCTCTTGGGGCTGCTGACAACACCAACAACTAGACATCACCATTTGCCCTTGCCTCCTCCACATGTCATCAGTGGCTATTTTCCGCCTCCACAATTTCCACAAGAAGAAGGATATCTTGAATGGTAAAGCTTTAATCCACATTAACTTGAATTCCTGATTAGGATCAGCCCTATGCATTAATATTTGCCAAGCACTGCTAACACTAAACTTGCCTGAAGGAGTTGGCATCCAGTATGGCCTATCCCAGTATCCCTCACTGCCTTCATAATGCATATTTAGCCTTATATGTTCTGCAATTTCCTCATTGAAGGTTTGATCTAGCAGTTGATCGTCCCATGTTTCACCTTGCTGTAATTCTGCCACATCCTGAAGATCTTCATTGATTGGAAAGTCTTCAGGTAATACGTGATAAAGTGCACCCAATCCAATCCAATTTTCATGCTAAATATTAATTGTTCCACTCTTCAATTCCCATAGGATCTCATGTTCTACTTCTTCCCTAGCATTCAGTATTTGTCTCCGAACATGAGATCCCCGTCTAAACTGCACCACCATTGGCATCTCCTTCTTGCAATACTTATTCCACATGAAATTAGACCACAAAGATTTTGTGGTCCTAAACCTCCACCATAGTTTAGCAAACAATGCCCTCAACACATCATGTAAGGACCTAAAGCCTAGGCCCCCTTCCTCTTTTGGAAGGCAAAGATTTTGCCATGAGGCCCAATGTCTGCTTCTCCCTTCTTCCTTTGTGCTCCAAAAGAACCTAGCAAAAATCTTATGAAGATTCTCCAGGACATTTTTTGGTGGATGCAGGATGGACTGGCATACTTTGCAACACACTAGAAATGAGTGTTGCCTTTCCTCCAAATGACAGCAGCTTTCCTTTCCATGAATGCAATTTAGCCTTTACTTTCTTGATAAGATCCTCATAATATTCCTTCCTCCTTCTCGTGTAGAAAATAGGACACCCTAGATATGTGAAGGGGAATTTACCTCTTGCAAATCCTGTAATAGCTCCAACCGCCTGATATAATCCATTAGGAACCTTTGAATATGTGTAGTATGAACTCTTATCTTTGTTGATCATCTGGCCTGATATCTTCTCATAGTTCCCCAACACTGCCATAATCTTTCTCAAGGATGGAGGATGAGCAGAAGCAAAGATTATAGTATCATCAGCATATGCCAAGTGGTTCAAAGGATCCGACCACTTAGGCATTCCAAATCCCACAAATGACCTGTCTTCAAATAACTTATTCAAAGACCTGGATAGTACCTCAACTGACAGAATGAACAATGTTGGTGATAGAGGATCCCCTTGCTTAACACCCCCTGTAGACTTAAAGAACCCTGATGACTGCCCATTCACCAATACTGAGTACTAGTTATTTGACACCAAGTTCCACACCATGTTGATGAAGTGCTCAGAAAATCCCATCTTCCTTAGTACATGCAATAAGTACTTCCATGAGACCCTATCATAGGCCTTAGCTATATCAAGCTTGATCACCACATTAGCTGGCTTTCCCCTTAACCTTATGTCAGTGACAATTTCTCGAGTCAATAAGATGTTCTCAAATATACTCCTACCCTTCTCAAATCCAGATTGATTAGGAGATATTAGAGAAGGCAAAAAAAATTCCAATCTATCATGTAACACCCTAGACAAGACCTTGTTAATGAAGTTGCTCAAGCTAATAGGTCTTAAGTCAGAGAAGGTCTCAACTCTAGATTTCTTAGGCAGCAACACTAGGTTGGTATGAGTGATGGATTTAGGAAGTGCAGCTCCTCCATAGAAGTGTAGCACCACGTTGTGTATATCAGCACCAATAACATCCCAACATGTGTGATAAAACAGGCTAGTGAATCCATCTGGACCACTAGCACTCTCCCCACTAAGCTCAAAAACTGTTGTCCTTACCTCATCAATTGTTGGCAATCTGCTAAGTTCCAAATTATGTTCCATAGTGACCATCGACGGTAAATTATTGAGCAAGGAAAAGTCAGATGTATCACCTTCATTTGTGAACTGTTTTTGATAGAAGTCCACTGCAGTTGTAGCCAATTGCTCCCGATCTTCAATCCATACCCCACTTCCACTTTTGATCCTCTTCAGTTACAATTTCTTTCTTTTTCCATTGACATGATTGTGAAAGAAACTTGTATTCATATCTGCTTCAGCAAACCAAGTCATCCCAGCTTTTTGCTTCCAATACTGCTCCTCAATACTCAAGTATTTCTTCAATTCAGATTGAGCCTTTTGAAGCACAATCATGTTCTCAATTGTAGGCTCTTATTCAAACAACGTCTCTTTCACCCTAACAATGTCTTCCAAAATAGCCAACTGCTTGAAGATATCATCAAATGTTTCCGTACTCCATTTTGACAGTGCTGCCTTCACCCTCTTGAGCTTCTGCTTGAACATCAAAAAAGGATCACCTATGAAATCAGCTTCCTAATTCTGCCTCACCACATCCATAAATGTAGCATGTTTAGTCCAAAAGTTCAAGAACCTGAAAGGCTTGACAAATTTGGTGGTCTGCTCCCCACATGTCATTAACAATGGTGCATGATCTGATCCAGTTCTGATTAGATGTTCAAATTCAATAGTTGGCAACATGTTCTGAAATGGCAAATTCACAAAGATCCTATCCAATCTTTTGAATATACACGCAGCATTGGATCTCCCATTCCACCATGTAAATGGACTTCCTTTGTATCCTTGCTTAAACAAACCACAAGAGTTTACACAAAATGCAAAATCCTCATATTCAGGCGGGTGTACTAGTCCTCCTTTTTTCTCATCTTCATGTAATATCACATTGAAATCCCCTCCTACCAACCATGGCAATTTCATATCACTTGCTAAGTAATACAAGTGATCCCACAATTCCAACCTCTCCATTGCTGAACATTTTGCATAAACAAATGTCATCATCATGTGCTGCCCCAGGTCATGGTGAAGCACTCTCACAGTCACATATTGCTCGGTATCCTCCACTAATTCCCATTCCACCACTGCATCAAAGAACAACCAAATTTGCCCATTAATATTTGCATAAGCCGTCTCCATATTCAGCCTTCTTCTATGTCTATCAATGAGTCTCTTCTTTTGAAAAGGCTCCATCAATGCAACTACACAAAAGTTATGCTCTCTATTCACGTTAATCACCCCAGGAAAGGCCAGTTGTGTTTTCATAGACCTTATGTTCCATATTAATGTTTTGATCATCATTTAGATAGAGAAGCTGCCCTCCTGGGCATAATTCTTGAAGGTTGTTGTGGCTCTTTATTCAGATTCTTCTTTGTTTTCTTACCTCTTTTAGCACTAGCTTTAGGTGATAGATCCCCATCCCTAGCCACCTGTTTGTAGTTTTCTGTTGTTGATTCATCATCTCCCTCATCCTCCATAGGATTTTGTCTCATTAAGTCTTCATCAATTGGTGCCACATTGTGTGTAACTAAATCATGTAAATATTGTAGTGGAGTCTTCAGTGGAACATTAAGATGCAGCTGCATAATTTGATCAGTGCCATATTCCATAGGCACTTCCTCTATTTCCCCAAATGCTCTTGGAACAATTGCCTGCTCATCAGCCTTTTCCTTGCTATTCACCATAGAAGAAGCAGCAGCCTGCATCATTTTGAATTGTTGCTCATATACACTGCCTAGCCCAGGAATTATTATGGTAGTCTGCTCAGAAATTTCTATTCTATTGATATCACCACCTTTTCCATTGCTTGTACTTTGGTCTGACCCTACTGTATCATCCCTAACCTTCACATTATCATCAAGTTTGTTCTCCAATGCGTACACCAGAACACCATCTACATAGGCTAAAATCTTGCCAGTTGCACTAGGGATAGGGTTTATTGTCGTTGCTTCATCAGGTGACCCTGGCACCAGGCCTGGCATCGCCAGCTTATCGCTTGGGGTACCTGGCTTTAGGCCTGGGGTTGCCAGCCTACCGCCTAGGGAGCCTGGCTTTAGGCCTAGTGTCGCCAGCCTATCGCCGGGTAGGCTGCTGTCCCTCACTTTGTCTCATGTTTCCTTTATCGTGCCTAGTTGATCATCCTCCACCTCAATTGCATCACTCCGTAAAACCTTTGTTGAATTTACCTTATCAAGGTCCTCAAGCTTCCCAAAATCTGCCAATGTTTGAGACGGAATATGTTGATATGATTGCATTGTAGCCACATTGAGTTCCCTTAGCTCCTCTTTGCTAGTTCCAAACCTTCTATGAACCCAGTCGATTGTGGATTCCTTATTAGCCTTTTCATCAGAACTTTGATCACTAGGAACAATAGGATTAGCCTAAGCTAAGTTCCCATTATGCTGCTCTTCCAACACTTTCTCAACTACTTCCTTCTTTACACCCTTAAGTTCTTGTTGATTACCTTCTCCCGCTGGTTTAGTATTAGCATCCTTCCCAACCCTATCCCCAGAAGCCTTAGGATTAGGGCTTGTCACTCCGGTATTACCTTCTTTTTCCTTCTCATGGCCCTTCTTTGATTGCTTTCCCCACCATTGCTATGATCCTCACCTTTGCCTTCAGTAATTTGTAGAGTAGGTTGATGAACTTCCTCAACCTCTAGTGCATTAAACTTGTTCTTGGTTGCTACTTCCTCAAGTTTGGCCTTCCCTTTACCCTTGTCAGCTTCCTTACCTTGTTTGTTATTAACAATGTGACCCCGATTATCCCGTTGGTATTTGTTCTTCCTTGCTTGTATCCATTCCTGCTTGGCATGATTAGTAGCAGGCTTACCAACCACCTTTCCACTTGACAGAACCTTTGTTGAATTTCCAGCTGTACCAATTGCTTCAGTGCTCACCACAACTGTCTTCTCCTTGCCTTGATCCTCCACATTTTCATCAAATCTCTTGTGTAATTCAGGATGAATTACCCAGCATTCTGCCTCACTATGCCCTTGTTTCTTGCAAGGCTTGCAATATTTAGGCATACAATCATACTTAATCCTAATCCATTTAAACTCTTCTGGCCCAGATTCATCATCTTCTTCAACAATCTTAATATGTTTAGGGAAATTACCTAGAAAATTCACTTCCACCTTTACCTTAACACAACTAGGTCTAGTCCCATTTTGAGTTGCTAGGTCTACATGTAATGGATTACCAACTGCACGAGCTAATGAAAATACACATTCCTTACCAAAGAAATTTGGAGGAAGTTCTGGAAAACTAATCCACGCTATGGCAATTGAGTCTCTTCATTAGGTGTCCACCATGGATTCTATTTTGTACAACGCATCTGCCACATGTCTGATTGAGCCTTTAAATAAAAAGCTAGCTTTGAGAGAAGATGAATATAATCCTCCAATAAAGATAGCCTAATTAACACATGATTGTCTTCAATCAAGACAATTGAACAATGACCCTTAATCTCATATTGAATTGGAATCACTTTACGTAATTCACCAGTAACAGGCTTCCCATATGAAAATTTCCCAAGAACTGCAATTTGAAGCCCTTGTTGTACGATGGATTGCTTCACTTCTTGTTTCTTCCACTTCACAACTGGTTCTTCATGAAGGAACTCAACTGGTTTATGGTAACGTAGCTAGGGTTTGCATGGGCGTATTTATGACAGTACGATTTAATAAATTCGCATAGGTTTGAGGTGGATTAGGGTTTGCATTAGGGTTTGTAGAGGTTGGAAACGGCTGAGGGGGGAGGGAGACGACGGACCAACCTCAGGAGGAGGCTAGCCGCCGGCCGTGGAGGCCATGAAGGGCAGTCGCCGGCGTGCGCTGTTGATCGCAGGAGAGAGGAGAGAGGAGAGAGCGTTTTCCTTTGCCAAGACCTTTTTCTATGCTACTTTAGCTGTGTTAGTTTAATTGAATAATATTTAATAAAAAAAGATTGGACTTTTCCCGACAATGGATCTATTAGATAATTTTCTTGAGGGATTTAAGTCTAAAGAAAAAGGACAAAAAGATTTTCTTTTGTTAGGTAGTGTAGCAATTCCCCCTTGGGTTTTCTTTGTGTCGCGGTTCTTTTCCAAGGGTTTTATTTGAACCGGGTGTAGTTAATTTTATTTTCTTTAGGAGTAGGAGCCAGTGTGAGATGAATTGAATTGAAGCAATATCTCTTGACTTTGTTATGCCTTGAGAATAATGAGTACTTTGGTTGTGACGCTTAGGCTCAGTTTTTGACTCTTGTAGAAGTACCTTAAATTGTATGATCTTAACTTTGCTTAACTGCTTTGACTAGAGTGTCTTGATGAGACCAATCCTGAATGAGTTATGTGACATGTGTGTGCAAGGTTTTGTGTTATTCTATGCATTGCATTTGATGTCTAGAACTTGCCCCGTGTGTTTGCAAAGCGAAATAGTAGTTTTGTTCAGTCTTGGAAGTGATATAGGCGTTTCTTTGTTGAGTCATATATATATTTTACCTGCCTAATTGTTATGCATCGTAGTTAACCCGTTTGAGCGTGTAATCATGTTTCTTTGGCAACCACATTACAAGCCTTACCTATTTGTTTGAATTAACCATCTGTTTGAACCTTCTAACCTCTCATGAGCACTTCAATTATTATGAACTGTGTACAAGTTAAAGTGTGGGGTGGTTGGTTGTTGATACCCAATTTTCCCCTAAATATTTTAAATATGCAAAATACTTTTAAAATAGCATATATATGCATATATAAGCATGCCCAAGGTTTTTATTATTTTTCTGATAATTTTAAGGGTTTAAATTGATTTATTTTTCTCCCTCTCTATCCATAAAATCCTCAATAAATATTTCCAAAATTATTATTTTGATAATTCACCTATTGTATTTCTATACTTATGCCAAAATATGGCTAAGGTAATTTTTACATATTTTTAAAATTTTATTTAGTATTTTTAAGCTAAATTGCACATAATTGCAATAATAGCCTTTTTAGATTTAATTATGTTTTATACGCATAAAATTGGATCCTGTATTTTTAAATTGTTAATTATGTATTATAAATCATTTTAGCCCTTTAAATTAGTTTTCAGAAACTATTTACTATTTTTTATAAATTAAATAGGGGAAAAAATGGCTATTTAGAATATAGCCAAATTGGCTTTCAATTGTAGCCCCAAATTGGACCCCAATTTCCCAGCCCAATTTCAATTAAAACCCGACCCACACCCTTTTAACCCATACCCATAAAAGTACAAGAGGGGGGGGGGGTGAATTGTCACTAATTGAAATTAATCGTTACTGAGTTGACGACTAAATATGGCAATCTTGCAGATATAACAGTTTGAGGTAATATGCAGAAAGTAAATGCAGAAATTAAAGACACCGGGAATTTTATACTGGTTCGGATTCAATGTGAATCCTAATCCAGCCCCCTTGGGTTGCAAGGGATTTCTCTTCAAGCAAATAAGTTTTNATTCTCTAGCACTCGTTTGATACAATGCCTCACCAATTGTATGCCCTCTTTCTATCCCTGACTTATTACACAGCAGATTTATGCAGGCTACTATGCTTGTTTGCAGTAGAATGAAGAGAGTTATTTTGGTTCGATCAAAGTATACTAAGGATGATGTTACACAGTACATTTATACAAAGATGAATGGTGAAGGCTCATCACCAGGTTTGATCCTGAAGATTGATCTTCAAGAATAAGGACTATCCGTTGCTTCTCTTGAGATCTTTTCCTTCGGCAGACAATGGAATTAACAAGATTTCTCCTTGATTGTTGGACCTTCCAAACTTGACCAATGACCGGATCTTCTAGCCTTTATTATTCTCATGTGATTTCGCCAATCACAGATCACTTCGAATCTTCACTTCATTATGGCTGATTTGATTTCCCAGATTCACGTAGCTAATCCTGATTTGCTGATGTAGATTTGTAGCTTTCCTTGTACACCGTGCGTTCTATAGGTGGCTTCCCTTGTGAGAGATTTCCTTCCTTGTTCGACACATCCATTTCACTAGTTCTTCTTTACTTCTTTGAACTCCTGCACATGTATATTAATTGCATCATTAAAATATGATCTAACAATCTCCCCCTTTTTGATGATGGCAAAATAATATACGTGGATGTAAGGAAGTAAACAACAGTTGACT